GCTTGGCGCTGCAAGCGCTGCCCAGGCTGAAGCTCGCCGACTTCGGGGCATGCTGCCCGATTCCTGCCACGGTGGCAGGCCTGGCTTACGGCTCAGAAATTCTGACAGGTTCTTCTAATAACACGAATGATGCACCTAAGCCCTTATATCTGCACGTATACAACTTATAACCCTATGCTTATAAGCTCTTGCGCTGTGGTTCGCCACAAGATTTGCGAGAGTGTAGATTTGCGCACGCAGGTGGGCAGAGGCCAGGGGAGTTAAACGGCTCGCGCTGTGTGATTCAACGGCAACCGTCCCTCTTAACCCTCCTGTGAAATAGGCGAGCCCTGATGGTGTCACTCTTTGCGCTGGAGAGGGTGAAACTTGGGAATTCACACGCGTGGTCAAGCGAATGCTGTCACTGGATTTGTGAAACGCGAGTGCTCAAGGCGCAGGAGTTTTTGTACTGATCGGCTGTTTGAATGACCAATCTGGCGTAAAAGTGTCAGAAGTGACGCAGGCTTCCAACCCCCAGCCCTCCCCGCCTTGGCCACGGGTGGCCACTAGCTGATCAGATCCCGTAGCACAGTCACAGTAGCACGAGGGTAGGCAAGTCAGTGAACTTCGTAAGCGAGTCTGACAGGCATGCTAGGGTGAAAAAGCTCGCTCGATTCCAGAACTCGCGCGGAGGGCCAGGGGGTGGCCGGCGCAGACCAAGTGATCAGGGTGGTGAGGTGGGTGAGGTTGGCGAGGTTGGTGAGGTTGGTGCACTTGAAGAGGGTGCTGAGCCTGGTGAGGGAGGGTGGAGAGGCTTGCGTGGGCAACTTGGCAAAGCGGAGTGGTGAGTGGTGAGTTCGGGGAGCTTAGGTGAGTGCGTTAGTTGTGGTTGACGGCCACCTCCCTGCCACAAGAGAATGCACGCATGTGGTTCGGCAGTACATCTGCTCTGCCACACCTAGACTTGTAAGACGTCGGGCTCCGGGCCGGGGAGCTTTTGTAGAGCGCTATATTATGGCAACCATTGCAGCCTGCGCCAGTGCGGAACCCTGAAGTACATGCCGGAGTTCGTGCTTCGTGAGAACCCATCCACTGCGGTGGGCCCAGTTCCTTCGTGCGCGATTCACCGTGCATGTGAAGCAGATGCTGTCTTATAGGAGCTCCACGACGCTTTCAGTGCTGGGGTTACGCTCTGGGAGCTGCTCGGCAACGAGTGGCTCCCATATCTCCCCGATGCTGGGTGTTGCGCCGTCGATGTTCTAGCGGCCCTCTCCGCCACTTGCGTCGCGGAGCTGGAAGGTCCTGTGAGCGAGTTGTCAGTGATTCTTATGGGGTTGAGGGGCTTGTAGAGTTTAGGGTTGCAATCAAGCTGTTGTGTTCGGCAGGGCCTCCAGTCGTCAAGGAGCTGATGAGTGGTCCTTGCCTTTGTCGCTTCTTGCTTGCTACGCCTGGTACGCTTGCTGTACGCTGCTACACGCTTGCTACGCTTGCTACGCTTGGCGCTGCCGATGTTGTTGTTTCAAGGCCTTTCCGTCACCTATGCGCTGAATGATCCATGCGTGCAGGCGGCAGGGTGACCATGAGCTCTGTGCAGAAAGCATGTTGGACACCATCCAGTTCGTGCAGGCTGGTTCCACGTGATCCTCTGGACTTGGGGCCGATCCAGTATAACACACCCTTTGCTCGCTTCTCACCACAAACGAAAGCATGCGATTCCCTCTAGCCGAGCAAGAACTGAATGCCTCATGTGAGACATACGCGCATGGTCTTCCTTCTTGCTGTTGTGGTCTTACTTGCTTACGCGCACAGGAAGACAATCGCAGGCATAGCGAGCATACATGTATTATATATGTATAAATGTATGTATACCATATATATATACATATATATTATTTGCTTATTTATTATTGTGTTTATTCATTTATATATTTGTCTGTTTGCTTATTTATATGTTCTTCGTTCATGTTGGGTTTTCGACGGTTGTCCTGCTAGCGCATCTACAGGGAATCAGCTGAGGAGAGGAGGTGCTGTAGACATTCCTACTCATGTTACCGAAGCTGTGCAGATTGGAAGTCTGTTTCACGGTACTGGCTTGGTGGACTGCTGGCGTTGCCCAAAACTGCTGCGGCGCGGCCCGACTCTGCTGAAGGGGCCTCTTCTTGGTGCGACGTGGGGGGGATGAGTTGTTGAGGCGTCATGTCTGCTGACCCCAAGTTCATGAAGGTTTCGGTTCAAAAGTTGTTGGCCGGTACACTGGCCTCATGGTTGTGTCAAGGAAAAGATAGCAGCCAGCAGCAGTTCCCCAGATCATCTAGATCCCCGAAATCGCCAGCAACGAAGTGCCGACTACCGAGCAGGTTGCTGTCTGTCAACAGTTATGAGAACCAAGGAAATAGCTAGCACAGTCAGAGGACGGGTTCTTGGGTTTCGCCGACGTCGGGCTTGCAAATGCACTGTTTTGATAAATTGTCGATCGTTCCACACGTGGTCCCTCTGAAGCTGTCAGTCCTTCTGGCTGCAGCGAAATCTTGCGCGAGCTCATGTGGGTGTACATAAGGGTTTTTTGTTCAGTCAGGCAGCCTTGCTTGCAAAAACCTTTACCTGCTTGTCATAGCAGAAGACCTTGTTGAAAGGGAATTAGCCGCCGGTTCCTGACTAGAACGTGGAAGAGATGATGATGGCCATGAACGGTCACGGAAGGGGTAGTGTCACTGCATTGTGTTTGATGCAGAATGAGCCGTCCAACTGAACGTTTGGGCTGGCTCCCCCCAACACAATGTGAAGAACATTCTCGGCTTCGGGTTCAGACTAAGCCTTGAGGTGTGAGCAATCTGAGCAATTGAAGAATGCCATCACCGTTCAGAGTACATTGTTGTAAGCTCGTGGTTTGGATAGAAGACTTGCCTGCGACTCCAATCGCCTTCAGCCCTCAAGGTTTGAGCGTGCCAGATTACAACTCAGAGCACTTCCCACATCAACCTTGCGCTAAACTAATGCCCTGCAGCTGAAGGTAGCGCAAGAAAGCTGGCAACGCGCTTTCTCACCCTGGAAGCCCCCCGCAACTTCACCCAGGTCCCAGGTGACCCTGGAAAAGCCAAATTTTAAGGCACAAAGATTGGTAGACGTGCTGCGGCTACTGCTGCTAACGCTGCTGCCATTGCTGCCACCTGCTGACACCAGATGTTCTGGCATCCCCCTCCAATATTCCCGAGCAGTTTCTAAGGCTTCCGCATCACCTCCAAGATGCAGAGAAAGGCACCTGGTAGTAAGTTGAACCGTAATACCTGCCCCATACCCTAAATTAAATTCCAAGGCTCCAGGTGTGGGCCCTTATTTTATATACTTTACATACTCAGGGCCCATACTTCGGATCCCCATAAACAAAGGTAAGGGACCATACTAAGGGCCCACAGTTCCAACCTTAGGCAAATCCCAAACCCTCATCACGGTTACAATAGGGGTCCAAATAGCCCAGGGTAGGCATCATTTACCGACTTTGGACCCCATGCGTCCTTTTCCCGGTTCGTTCTTTAATTCACTCACTGATATACAGGACTAGTGCTCTTTTCTTCTGTAATGTTACTGACCAACACCCTATGTAATTGGAGTAGAGCTATGTCCTCGCCATACAATCAACAAGTGCAGCTTTTGCTGCAACTCTGGATGATGGCTCTGTTATCACGTGGGGTGAACCTGGTGCAGGCGGTGACAGCAGTCACGTCAGGCACCTTCTGACGAACGTTGTGGGGATCCAGTCTTCTTCGCGCGCTTTTGCGGCAATCCGTTCCGACCGAACAGTTGTGACCTGGGGTGATGCTGGTTTTGGCGGTGTTGGTGGCCACATCCTCGAGAGGGTGCAAGAGATCCAAGCCTGAGAAGGCGCTTTCGCTGACACGTTTACGTCGACGGCAACCGCCCAACTCCATGGCACGGGTTCATTGACCACATCTGGGAGAACCTCGCCTTTCAGCAAGTTACCTTGATGTGCGCATGGCCAGCAGCTGGCCGTCAAGGCGCGGCCCAAGCCTGGGCCACGCCGGCGAACCGCGACCGCGACTGGACGGCTGCTGCCACAGTTCCTCTTGGGCATCGGAGCCGGCGCCACTGCGGCGTATCAACTCATGTGTGAAGCCGGGTCCAGCCCCTGGACAACCGTGGTATGCATCGCTCCCGTCAAAAACCCCTATCCGATGCCGGCGCTGTTGCAAGCAGGCACTCGGATCTTGGTCTATGGGGGTCAGAAGGATGCCACCACCTTCTGCCGCAACCTTCGACATGGCCACAGTGTGCGGGGCCGTCGTGACCTGGGGTGCTGCGTGGGCTGGCAGCGACAAGACCTTGCTTCCTTCCTGCCTCGCTGTTTGGAGCTTAGAAGAATACTAGCATGGCTGGCAACGTCCAGGGGTGGCATCTTGCCGTGGTTCTGACCGTGGTTCGTGTGTACAAGGGACCAACAATAGTATAAAATAGTAGACTGCTGCTGTGGGTTCAAAACATGATCGGAAACGTTAGAAAGTGGTACGACAACGCCGTGCAGTTTCTACAGTGCAAGTTGCATGCTGGGCGTGGCTAGCAAGTCTTCGGTCTCACTTCCTTTCTGGATACACCAGGGAGCTGCTTGTGGATCAGAAGAGCTTGCCGGTGCACTTTTGGATTACCCAGACACGGCTCTTGCCTCGAAAGGCTCCACAGCTCAAAAGAGCGACGCACCGACAAGGCATGCTACAACAGAAACCGAGCAGCTTATTGACCGACTTCAGGCCGAGGTGGAGCTTACGCCTGTTATTCAGTGCTTCTCAACTGTTCATTGATGCTTTGATCTTGTGAATACCACCCTTTCACCCGTAAGGGTTGCAATTATAGTCCGCACTTTGCATGAGCATCACAGAGCTCGAACAGGGTACGCCAGCCATTCTCCACACAGCTTTTGTTGCCTTGGGGCGGCTTTACCGGCCTGAAAATAGCATAACATGACCGTTGCTTCGCTGAGGGTTTCGTGCCGAGTTTTTCTGTCTCAAGCAATGAAGTTTCTGTGCGCGAGCGCGTTTGTCGCGCTTGCGGCAGTTGTCTCGCTGCCGGCTGATGGAAAGAAGACAAGGAGGCCAGATCTGAACCTCGCCAGGAGTTCGTCCGCGCATTCTCTTGAGACGGAGACCGTGCAGAGCTATGTTTCCAAGATGATGGCCTCTGGTGTGGCGACGCCTGATGATGGAGATAAGCGGTTGGTGAAGGAGAAGGTCTTGGAAGGGTCGCCAGAGCAGATCAGCGCCATGTTGCAGGCTCAGTTCGCGTTGTACGACAAAGACAATTCAGGAGACTTACTAAGGTAGCCTTCATAACTTCTCTGGGATGTTGTATGAACTGTATGAATATGCGACCCTGCCTTCGTGGGAAGTCAGAAACTATACTGTAGGAGGACAACTCAAGAGACTTTAGTGGGAGTTTCGTTGGGGGCTCTAGGCGTAGACCCAAGTAAAAGGATTCATGTCTAACCCCGAAAACTTCCACACCACCAGGAGACTTAAGCGTTTCGGAGCTGGTGCACGGCTTGTTCAGCGGCCGGAAGCTGGATGGCGGCAACGCAAGCGTGCCGCATGAGCCGAAGCAGCGCATCAACATCAGCGCCCATGAGGCCGCCCCAGAACCCTGAAGCCCCCTCGTCACCGTCACCCTAAAACCTGGATGTGACTGTGAGTGCCCGTGAGGCCCGCCTGAGCCACCGGGACGCATGGCATTTGATCAATGTCAATGACAAGGATGGTTCCGAGACCATGGACCTAACGGAGTTCCTTTCCGCTCGTGGCTCGAGCCACGGCTTCCTTGACAAGACACCTCCAGAGAATGCGAACACCACAGGCATGAGCTTGGTGCAAGTGCAGGGCGTGTCGCAGTGTGTGGGGACGGTGATGGAGAGGATCTGGGACGCGGCCGGGTGCATCGAGGAGTTCCACGTCGAGGAGTGCGAGTGGACGTGGAAGATTTGGAAGATGGTGGAGAACTGCGTTTGGAAGCCCATGACGCGCGTCGTGGGCTGCTTCGTGGAGAAAGCCAAAGAGGCCGGGCGTTTTTTTGTCAAAGAAATCGGCCCCCTTATAGTGACACGTGCTGAAAACCCTCCTGAGAAAACCCCCAACAAAGCCTCATCATCAAGCCACCTAAGCCACCACCCTTCCTCAGGTGGTGGCTTCATTCGGGGACTGCTGGAAGAACATCGAGGACGCGATCCTGAGCGGCTTCCGGAAGTTCAAGAGCCTGCTGCCCCAAGGGTGCAACTCCTGGAGGAGCCGAGGGGGGTGTGGGCTGAGCGAGGCGAAAAACTTGGTGGAGAAGATCGGGCCTGGCTTCCGCTTGGTGGGGAACTTCATCTCGCAGGCCCAGGAGGTCGCGGTCGACCTGGGGAGGATCGCTGCCGATGCAGCGAAGGGGGTCCTGAACTTCGTCAAAGGCTCGGCGACGGCGATTTGGAACTACCGGTTGCCAAGCCTTTGCACTCCGAGCGGCGTCGGGTACTGGAAGCTGGTTCCGACCGACTGCGGTGCCTTCGATGCCATGGGGAGGATCTTCTCTGAGGTTTGGGCCGTGTGGAAGATCAAAGAGAACTTCGACAACACCGTGCATAAGTTCAGGGATTGCCTCGGGAAAAAGAGCTTCATGGGCCTGCCATCGCCCTTCATCGAGGTGTCCCTTCAGAGCTTGTGCCTGCCGCAGTTCATGAAGAGGCCGCTGGAGATGATCGTGGGCTCATTCCACCATTTCATCCAACAGATCAGGGAGGCTTCCGGCGGCTGCCAAGGTTCGGACCAGGCGATCTGCCAGCTTGCTGCGGACATGAAGTCCATTGGGCTGAAGATCAAAGACGTGTTGGACACAAAGGTGTCCCTGATGCAAGCCGCCAAGACCGTGGGTCGAGAACTTTCGCGCGGTCAGGCAGCTGAGACGAAGATCGACGAAGGTTCCGGAGGGGCCTCAGCTGGCCTCTTTGAGTATTCCTCTGGCGAGTGTAAAGGCCCCGACTTCTCCGTGAAGCTCGGGCTCAGCTTGGGCATCAGCTTCAACCAACCCGGCGGGGGGACCCTCGTCCTCGGCTTGACATTCACAGGGGCGGGGGGATGCAAGAACGACAAGGGCTTCTTCGACCTGCTGCTGGGCTTCGGAGCCTCCAGGACCCTCAAACTAGAACTGGAAAGCTTGAGTCTGGTGTGCGCGAGTGCAGGGACGTTGCTGTGACAAGTCAGGGTCCTACCTGCCGGTTCCGGCCCCCGGCCCGGCAACCTACATGGAACCACAAGGTGCTCATGATGCCCCGTTCTTGGTGGAGAAGAGGGCCCCAAACAAGGAGAATTGAAAAACACGCGCGACAATCGCGGTGTTGCACCTGATGCTCGCCGTTCCGGGGCCCGGGCGCCTCAACAAAAATCTCAAACATGAGGGCCCGCGAAAAGTGAGAAACGAAGCGACGCTGCCTGCGCGAGAGCGGTGAGGGTGGCGGGCTTTGGGGGTGGCAGGCCTTGCTGCTAAACAACCAACAAACAGAAGTGTGGTGAGGGTGGTAGGGCCGGTAGGGCGGTGCAAAGAACGTTTCACTGTTGGCGCCACCCAAGGCGCGGAAAGCGCCTAAAGCGTGATCTGTTGAGTTCCTATGCCAATTGTCCCGTACCATGAACAGATGTATGATGTGTGCATTTCCGCGAGTGCTGTGTGTTCTGTGTCGTCTCATCCTCTGCAGCACGCTCCAGTGAGAGTTTTTGTTTGGACTGTGGAGTGCAGCATGTTCGGATGTCCAGGTCCCTGTTGGGGAGCGTGAAGAAGCCTGAGGTTACGCCCACCATCTCGATTGGCTTCTCGATTGGAACAGGGCAGACTGACGTGGCCAGCTGGGACATGGGCATCGGCATTTCTGGCTCGGTGCCACTTGTGCCGATGCTGCCTGCCAATGGCGGCACTGGCATCTCATACTCCATGACGCTGGGGATGTGTTTGGGATGTACAGTTGTCGTACGCTATTCACATCGTGTGTTGTCAACGTTTCCTCATCGTGGTAAACACATAAGCAACTTAGCCCAGGAAGCCACCGGGCAGCTTGCCCTCCGGTTTCGGCCTGGGCTTCTCGGCAGCTCCCCCCGATCCCTCTCTGGCGCAGGCCGGGGCCGGACATCTGCACCCGGTCCAGGAGGCGGTGAACGGAGCGATGGCGACCGCAGATTCCTACGAGGAGCAGGTGCTGGCGGCCGTGGCCGCAGCGAGCTCAGGCTTCAAGCACATGGATGTGGGCCATGCCGTGGATACCCTGGGCGTGCATCCGCATGAAGCCCTGCGCCACGGCGCCTCCGCCTTGAAGAACTACGACACCGTTGCCGCCCTGGTGCAGCAGCATGCGGAGGAGCAGCACGCAGGGTCGAAGTCCCTGAGCTCAGAGGAGCTGGAGGGGGCCCTTGACGTGAATGCCAACATTTACGTCAGCCTGTCCCTTTGCTTGACCTGCTCGATTTGGGAGAATGGGGAGGATGCGAGCGAGGTGGCCTTCGGCGCAGGGGCCGGTCAGAACATCGCAGCTCAAGCTCAGGCAAATGCCCCCATGCTCGAGGCCAACTGGCAGTCTTCCATGAGGCGGCAGGGTTGGAGCAAAGCCCCTGGCATCCTCACGGGCTTCTACCAGGGGCTTTGCAATTCCTTGTCCTGCCTGTCAAAGGCCCGGTACGCGGAGTACCCCAAGGCTACGATGGATTGCTACAACGCAAACTGGGGTAGCTCCTTCAACAGCAAGGGTTGGAGCACTTGCCGCCACGGCTACTTCATGACCGGCTTGTATCGGTCGACGTGTAGCCAGCTCTCTTGCCTGGATCAGGTGGAGTGCTGCCGCCCAGAAGGCGCCTCCCACGACTGGAAGCAGTGCATCGATGAGGACTGGGGTCTTAAGACAGGGCACTGGCTCAGCCGCTTGACCAGCTTTACCAAGCTGATAGGCTGGAAGAAGTGCACTCCTGGCAAGGGCCTGGTGGGCTTGTACCGAGACTCGTCCAACAAGTGGTCCTCCGTCCAGTCGGCCAAGTGTTGCTACTTGCCAGCCTAGCCAGCCTAGCTGGCATGAAGAAGCATCGCAATCTTGCGATGGTCCAAAGGCGACCTCTTGAGTGCCAGGGTTCTGGGGTTTGTTGGAACCTCAGAATCAGGGTCCTTGCGTGGCCGGGTGGCGACGTCCATGATTTTGAATTGGACGTGATTGTCCAAGTTCAGCTGCAGCAGTCTTTATGATGCTCGAGGCTGGACGAAAATGCATGATCAGTCTGCCCTAGAACAGTAGGGTACGATAGTATACCACCGTATACTTAATTTAGTTGCTCGTGTATTCAGCAATCTTGTTAGTTCGAGGGCGGTGAGCGTGAGGTCGTGAGGAGAGAGTGATGGGAAGAGGGGGGGGCGAGGGAGCAAAAAAAGAGAAATTTGAGGGAGGGTGGTGAGTGGTGACTGGTGAGTTTGGGGAGCTCAGCGAGCCGTTCGGGAGTGCGTTGTGGTTCAGGGGCAGGGCGCGATTTGCGCACGTGGTTGGACTTGCTGTGGTTCGGCGTCGCCGCTGCCCTGCCGCGAGACGCTGCGCGCATGTGGTTGGGCGAGATTTGCACCAACAGGTGAGCAGTGAGAGCAGGGAAGCTTTTGCGCTGTAGTTCCGCGGCCCCCCCCCGCCATGCTACCGCGCGCGCTTACGCTCTCGCTGTGAGCAGGGTTAACGGTGGGCGGCACGCTCAAGTACTCTTTGCATCAGCATGACAGAGCTCGAAAAGGGGAAGCCAGCCATTCTCCACACAGCTTCGTGTTGCCTTTGGGGCGGCTTTACAGGCCTGAAAATAGAACAACATGACTGTTGTTTCGCTGAGGGTTTCGTGCCGAGGTAAATTTCAGTTTTGGCTGCGCCGTTGATCACCTGCTCGTCGAAGTGAGTTTTTTTCTGTCTCAAGCAATGAAGTTTCTGTGCGCGAGCGCGTTTGTCGCGCTAGCGGCAGTTGTCTCGCTGGCTGATGGCAAGAAGACAAGGAGGCCAGATCTGAACCTCGCCAGGAGTTCGTCCGCGCATTCTGTTGAAACGGAGACCGTGCAAAGCTTTGTTTCCAAGATGATGGCCTCTGGTGTGGCGACGCCTGATGATGGAGATAAGCGATTGGTGAAGGAGAAGGTCATGGAAGGGTCGCCAGAGCAGATCAGCGCCATGTTGCAGGCTCAGTTCGCTGTGTACGACAAAGACAATTCAGGAGACTTACTAAGTGTGGCCTTCATCACTTCTCTGGGATGTGTATGAACTGTGTGAATATGAGACCCTGCCTTCGTGGGAAGTCAGCAACTACTCTAGGAGGACAACTATAGACGTAGACCCAGGATTCATGTCTATAACCCCGAAAACTTCCACACCACCAGGAGACTTGAGCGTTTCGGAGCTGGTGCACGGCTTGTTCAGCGGCCGGAAGCTGGATGGCGGCAACGCAAGCGTGCCGCATGAGCCGAAGCAGCACATCAACATCAGCGCCCATGAGGCCGCCGCCCCAGAACCCTGAAGCCCCCTCGTCACCGTCACCCTTAAACCTGGATGTGACTGTGAGTGCCCGTGAGGCCCGCCTGAGCCACCGGGACGCATGGCACTTGATCAAGGTCAATGACAAGGATGGTTCCGAGACCATGGACCTAACGGAGTTCCTTTCCGCTCGTGGCTCGAGCCACGGCTTCCTTGACAAGACACCTCCAGAGAATGCGAACACCACAGGCATGAGCTTGGTGCAAGTGCAGGGCGTGTCGCAGTGTGTGGGGACGGTGATGGAGAGGATCTGGGACGCGGCCGGGTGCATCGAGGAGTTCCACGTCGAGGAGTGCGAGTTGACGTGGAAGTTTTGGAAGATGGTGGAGAACTGCGTTTGGAAGCCCATGACGCGCGTCGTGGGCTGCTTCGTGGAGAAAGCCAAAGAGGCCGGGCGTTTTTTTGTCAAAGAAATCGGCCCCCTTATAGTGACACGTGCTGAAAACCCTCCTGAAAACCCCCAACAAAGCCTCATCATCAAGCCACCAAAGCCACCACCCTTCCTCAGGTGGTGGCTTCATTCGGGGACTGCTGGAAGAACATCGAGGACGCGATCCTGAGCGGCTTCCGGAAGTTCAAGAGCCTGCTGCCCCAAGGGTGCAACTCCTGGAGGAGCCGGGAAGATCCGGGAAGCCCCAAGCATTCAGCATGTAAACCCTTTGTTTAAGTGGCCTCCGGAGATTTGGAGAAATGTGTTCAACGTATAGGTTCGGGTGTTGTTGGTAGTGCCCGAAATGGCGGGGGGGAGGGGGGAGGGGAGGGGGGTGTGGGCTTTGCGGTGACCTTAAGAGGAGCTGCAGGGACACGCTGCGGGGCGCGGGCCAGAAGCTCATCGAGGTGCTCCTTGGGGAGCTGAAGAGCGAGGCGAAGAACTTGGTGGAGAAGATCGGGCCAGGCTTCCGCTTGGTGGGGAACTTCATCTCGCAGGCCCAGGAGGTCGCGGTCGACCTGGGGAGGATCGCTGCCGATGCAGCGAAGGGCGTCCTGAACTTCGTCAAAGGCTCGGCGACGGCGATTTGGAACTACCGGTTGCCAAGCCTTTGCACTCCGAGCGGCGTCGGGTACTGGAAGCTGGTTCCGACCGACTGCGGTGCCTTCGATGCCATGGGGAGGATCTTCTCTGAGGTTTGGGCCGTGTGGAAGATCAAAGAGAACTTCGACAACACCGTGCATAAGTTCAGGGATTGCCTCGGGAAAAAGAGCTTCATGGGCCTGCCATCGCCCTTCATCGAGGTGTCCCTTCAGAGCTTGTGCCTGCCGCAGTTCATGAAGAGGCCGCTGGAGATGATCGTGGGCTCATTCCACCATTTCATCCAACAGATCAGGGAGGCTTCCGGCGGCTGCCAAGGTTCGGACCAGGCGATCTGCCAGCTTGCTGCGGACATGAAGTCCATTGGGCTGAAGATCAAAGACGTGTTGGACACAAAGGTGTCCCTGATGCAAGCCGCCAAGACCGTGGGTCGAGAACTTTCGCGCGGTCAGGCAGCTGAGACGAAGATCGACGAAGGTTCCGGAGGGGCCTCAGCTGGCCTCTTTGAGTATTCCTCTGGCGAGTGTAAAGGCCCCGACTTCTCCGTGAAGCTCGGGCTCAGCTTGGGCATCAGCTTCAACCAACCCGGCGGGGGGACCCTCGACCTCGGCTTGACATTCACAGGGGCGGGGGGATGCAAGAACGACAAGGGCTTCTTCGACTTGCTGCTGGGCTTCGGAGCCTCCAGGACCCTCAAACTAGAACTGGAAAGCTTGAGTCTGGTGTGCGCGAGTGCAGGGACGTTGCTGTGACAAGTCAGGGTCCTACCTGCCGGTTCCGGCCCCCGGCCCGGCAACCTACATGGAACCACAAGGTGCTCATGATGCCCCGTTCTTGGTGGAGAAGAGGGCCCCAAACAAGGAGAATTGAAAAACACGCGCGACAATCGCGGTGTTGCACCTGATGCTCGCCGTTCCGGGGCCCGGGCGCCTCAACAAAAATCTCAAACATGAGGGCCCGCGAAAAGTGAGAAACGAAGCGACGCTGCCTGCGCGAGAGCGGTGAGGGTGGCGGGCTTTGGGGGTGGCAGACCTTGCTGCTAAACAACCAACAAACAGAAGTGTGGTGAGGGCGGTAGGGCCGGTAGGGCGGTGCAAAGAACGTTTCACTGTTGGCGCCACCCAAGGCGCGGAAAGCGCCTAAAGCGTGATCTGTTGAGTTCCTATGCCAATTGTCCCGTACCATGAACAGATGTATGATGTGTGCATTTCCGCGAGTGCTGTGTGTTCTGTGTCGTCTCATCCTCTGCAGCACGCTCCAGTGAGAGTTTTTGTTTGGACTGTGGAGTGCAGCATGTTCGGATGTCCAGGTCCCTGTTGGGGAGCGTGAAGAAGCCTGAGGTTACGCCCACCATCTCGATTGGCTTCTCGATTGGAACAGGGCAGACTGACGTGGCCAGCTGGGACATGGGCATCGGCATTTCTGGCTCGGTGCCACTTGTGCCGATGCTGCCTGCCAATGGCGGCACTGGCATCTCATACTCCATGACGCTGGGGATGTGTTTGGGATGTACAGTTGTCGTACGCTATTCACATCGTGTGTTGTCAACGTTTCCTCATCGTGGTAAACACATAAGCAACTTAGCCCAGGAAGCCACCGGGCAGCTTGCCCTCCGGTTTCGGCCTGGGCTTCTCGGCAGCTCCCCCCGATCCCTCTCTGGCGCAGGCCGGGGCCGGACATCTGCACCCGGTCCAGGAGGCGGTGAACGGAGCGATGGCGACCGCAGATTCCTACGAGGAGCAGGTGCTGGCGGCCGTGGCCGCAGCGAGCTCAGGCTTCAAGCACATGGATGTGGGCCATGCCGTGGATACCCTGGGCGTGCATCCGCATGAAGCCCTGCGCCACGGCGCCTCCGCCTTGAAGAACTACGACACCGTTGCCGCCCTGGTGCAGCAGCATGCGGAGGAGCAGCACGCAGGGTCGAAGTCCCTGAGCTCAGAGGAGCTGGAGGGGGCCCTTGACGTGAATGCCAACATTTACGTCAGCCTGTCCCTTTGCTTGACCTGCTCGATTTGGGAGAATGGGGAGGATGCGAGCGAGGTGGCCTTCGGCGCAGGGGCCGGTCAGAACATTGCAGCTCAAGCTCAGGCAAATGCCCCCATGCTCGAGGCCAACTGGCAGTCTTCCATGAGGCGGCAGGGTTGGAGCAAAGCCCCTGGCATCCTCACGGGCTTCTACCAGGGGCTTTGCAATTCCTTGTCCTGCCTGTCAAAGGCCCGGTACGCGGAGTACCCCAAGGCTACGATGGATTGCTACAACGCAAACTGGGGTAGCTCCTTCAACAGCAAGGGTTGGAGCACTTGCCGCCACGGCTACTTCATGACCGGCTTGTATCGGTCGACGTGTAGCCAGCTCTCTTGCCTGGATCAGGTGGAGTGCTGCCGCCCAGAAGGCGCCTCCCACGACTGGAAGCAGTGCATCGATGAGGACTGGGGTCTTCAGACAGGGCACTGGCTCAGCCGCTTGACCAGCTTTACCAAGCTGATAGGCTGGAAGAAGTGCACTCCTGGCAAGGGCCTGGTGGGCTTGTACCGAGACTCGTCCAACAAGTGGTCCTCCGTCCAGTCGGCCAAGTGTTGCTACTTGCCAGCCTAGCCAGCCAAGCTGGCATGAAGAAGCATCGCAATGCTCATGTAATGGGTGTCCAAAGGCGACCCCTTGACTCTTCAGTGTGAGTGCCAGGGTCTTGAGGCTTGTTGGAACTTCAGAGTCGGAGTCCTTGCGCGGCCGGGTGGCCATGATGTGGCGTCCATGATTTTGAATTGGACGTGATTGTCCAAGTTCAGCTGCAGAAGTCTTTATGAAGCTCGAGGCTGGAGGAAAATGCATGATCAGTCTGCCCTAGAACCGTAGTTTCTTTTTCGATTTGCTTGCTTGTTGCATTTTGTTTTTTGCTTTGGCGTTTCCTTTCTGATCTGCTCTCGGCTTTTTCGGCTCTGTTCTTTCTACTTATCTCTTGACGTTGCTTTTTGCTTTCTGCTTTTGCTTCCGGTCTGTGTGTGTGTGTGTTTTTCTTTTAGCCTTGCTTTCCCGCCCTCTTGTCTCACCTTACTCCGCGTGTTTGCTTCCCGCTTTTCCGCTTGTAGTCTCTGATGCCCGCTTCCGATTTTCCGCTTCTTGGATTTCCAGTTCCGCGCGTCCCTGTTTGGTCACCCGCTGCTTTCAGTTTATCGCATGCGCATGTCTTGTTCTGCTTGAAGAAGCTGTGCATACAAAATGTACAAAATGCCTGAACCTCCCCGCTTTTTAGGCCATACAAATCAGCAGCGAGAGCTCAAACCTGCACTTTGCCAGCGCGGGTTCAGCCATGGTCCGAGCGTGGCCAAACTTTCTTCAGATGACTGCTGACGGATTTACATTCGCTGCAGAACGTCGCACGGTAGTTGTTTTTCTCCCGTGGCAAAACCCCGTCAATGTACAGGACTATCCCCAACACTTCCTGGCCACCGCAGCCGATGGCGAAACAATAAATTGACAGACTTGCCGGGAGGTTAAATTGAAATCCGTGCCGTTGATGTCGTATATAGCAACAACATTGATGGAAGCACACGTAGTCCAAGCAAGAGCGATAGAATCAGCAAGCATGAAGTTGAGATTGGAGCTTGCCCATAAAGGGAAGCTCAGAGTTTGCGATGACAGGAACACAGTAAGAGAGAGAGAACACAGATGGGGTGTTGAAGCAGCCCCCCTTTGAGAGGAACGCAGTGGAAAGGGAAACACAGGCAGAGGCATACTTTTGAACTACCCGCCCACCTCTTTGCACGGCGATGAGAGGAACACAGCGAGAAAGGGCACCCCAAGTAAAGACACATGTTTAACCCGCCCGTTTTTCCGTGCGATTAAATGTATTGAGCTGTTTTCATCACAAGCAGGATGGATGCATTGGAGCAACCATTTGTCGCGCTACGGTATCCCCTAGCTACACCAAGATCTTACAGGGACGACGAAGTTCAAACCTTAAACCCTTAATGCCGCCAACCCCAAATCCTACGCCTCCCTGGTTATGACCCTTATGTCCGAGAAAGCACCAAGCCCACAAGGCAAGTGGTTCAACTGAGCCGACGCTTTGGCTTGCAGTTTCGAAGAAGCAGTGCCTGCGTTGCCGCGTTTGAAGCCTTGCTCCAGACTCAGAGTGTCTTTTTTGCGGAAAAGCTGACAGGGTTTCACCTTAGTTGGAGGGATCTTCAGGGCAGTCGCCGCCAAGACTCATAGTCCGAAAGCCTTGATTGCTGAAAATAGCGGACGAGTTTCCGTTTGCTGTCTTCTGAGTTGTCCACTTCTCTTGGGAGCAATTCATGATGTTGTGCAGTGAGTTTGCACTGTAGAGCAGAAGTGTTCAACCTCACGCGTTTCGTTGCAATCCAGATTCTTGCAATCTCCACTGCCAGGTCGCTGTGAGCGATGGCCAGCAGCAGGCTCATGTTTCGGGAGGGACTCTCTGTTCAAAGGTCATAGAGATGCTTTGCAATGGAACGTGCCAGGTACACTGGATGCTTGGTGAAGGTAATTACTCAGGAACCTGAACTTAAAACCCTTACCCGCTCCGGAATCGTGCCCGATTTGGTCACCCTGTTAGGTATTAATATTAAAGTCGATTTTCATTGAGATCCTAGCCCGCACGGCCCCCCCTCCGGGGAGCTATTAGAATTTATGTTAATTGAAAATTAACACCGAAATCCAGTGTCACCCATGCAGACAACAAAGGTGATTGGGATTCTCGGCACTGCATACTGCATAGAAGGCAGTGGACGGGCTAAGAACACGAACCCTGAACAGGCCTGATTTGGAAAACGCCTTCGCGCAAGCCAAGGGGATGTCATGTTTTTTGCTGCATCCGCGACGCCTTCTGCAGGTCGCCGGCCCCAAATCCCACGTTGTTGGAGGCCATCCGGGCCGAGAGTACCTTCGCAAGGTCAAAAGAGACCCTTTTCGGCTATCTCGACCCGCTACTATGTAGCCCCCATGCAGCATGCATCGTGACTGACAGAGAGTTTCTTGCGAGAATCCAGCTAGAGTAAGCCGCAGAATACGCGCAGTGTTGCCGGCGCAAGCCTATATGTGCCTCGCGTGCGACTACTTGGGACTTGTTTGGGCGGGAAAGGACCGCTTCATGAAGCAGCAGCCGAGGCCAACTGTGTTGTTGTAGCCTGGTTCAATGAAGCTGAGACAGGAGAGTGCGACGCAAATCATTTGAGCCTGCCGGCCTGCAGAGTAATTCAAACATGCGAGACGAGGATGCCTTTCCTGCACAGTCTTCTGGAGGTGTGATGGATTGTGTTGTAAGACTTGAGAGCATGCAGTTTAGCTTTGGCCGCGAGATGTGACACGAGCTTGGAGGGCCGGAGTGGTTTTGTAGCCATGTGATTCAGCCATTTTCCTGTCTCTCTCAGGCATGCTGACAAGCAGAAGACTCGCTTCGGGGAAGGAGGCCGATTGCAAGAGGAACTTCAGCCCGTGCGAGTAATTCATTTTACAAGTACCAACTCCCATGCCATGCAGGATGCAACGGGCCCCATGTTTCGGAATTTAGAGTTGCACGAGCAACGCACGCTGTTAAGGCCACACGTAGGCGTGTTTTAGCCTCACCGTGCGACGTAGCGGAAGCACCCAGATCTAGGAGGGCCACGGATGCTGATGCAAAACAGCAGCTGCGCTTGCTATGCAAATCCTGTTGCGTTTCCTGCTGCGTTTCATTTCCTTCTATGTCTGAGCAAGGTCTTCATAATTCCGTCAGCAGCTCAAGTGCTTCTTGGACTGGCGGGGAGCGATCCTTGCTTTTCTGGAAGCCGAGCCAGGTATAATAGGTAATCATTCAGGTAATCAATGTCTTCACACTCCACACTGCCCCGAATTTGCTTACTCCTGCCCGCGATCTCTCGACTTGTGCCCCGAGGCCCCACTGACAAGCGACGTTCACCGATCACTCCAAACAAGTCCAGATCCGTCAAGGCCTGAGTTCGTCAGTTTGTCAGTTTGTGAACGACGGTTATGATACGGTTATGTTGCTAATTTCTCAAGGGGTGGCATGGAAGGAAGGGGTTGCGTACTACAGGGGGTCAGAGGGACTGTTGCGTGTATGGGTTCCCTTCGGGCGCTGAACGCAAGGGAGTGTCCCTCAAGTGTCTTCCAGGAATTCGACGAGGTGAAAGGTGCATGTCATGTCTTCGGAGTCCTAAGGGGACTACGTGAAGAGAGGCCAACTCTTAAGTCTTAGGTCATTCCATAGAAACCCGTGATTTTTGTTGTTGTGTGGGTTTTTTGTGAAGGCGAAAGGGAGTACCCGGAGCACCCCGTGCAAAAAACATGCGCGCCCTGCAAAGGGACCACACATAGCCAAGGCAGACCACAACAAATTAAACAAAAAAGAAACCAATGCACCCGACCCCCCACAAACAAGAAACGCGCCCGGCCTCCACACAAAAGCAAGAACGAGCCCGACCCTCACAGCAAACAAGCCCCCACAACAACTAAAACACTTTGCCGCCATTCCATTCCACTTTTGTTAGACTTACTGCTCCACTCTGGTCCGCTTGTCTCTACGGTTTACGGATTGATGTTTCTCAACCCTTTGCTTCACTTATCTTGCTCTCCTCTCTTCCTTTCTCGTACTAATGTTTTTGACATGGCGTTTTGGGCTAAGTCATGTTAAGTCCCTGAAAGAAGACCCCTCAAGACCCGAAACCTTCAAGCTGAAAGAAGCATGAAAAAGCAGAAGTTGCACATGGCCGTTCATTATTTATTGTTTCTGAGGGAGGGGGTAAGGTGAGTTACCGGATACCTTTGCTAACATTTCAAGGGTCGGAAAAGTTACCAGAAAGACCACACCCCCCCCCCCCTGGCCACGGGAACATTTTCAAATCGGTCAGTTTTGGCATCGGCCTTTCGCTGGTTCTATGTTTTTTGTCTTGAAGAGTTCCGGGCTTGTCTGGTTTAGTGACTTGTGAGAAGCCCGCTTAAAACACCCTAAGCAATTCCAGCAAACAGTTAACCAGCGCAAATCTGTGAACAGAAAAGAGCAGAGTCAAAGTGGCCAGCTTGAGCTCCTTGCGTAATCACCAACCGCATCTCAGTCCCACCAAGAAATTGCAAGATGTTGCTGCGCCCTGCTTGCCATTCCCCATCAAGAAGGCCTGCAACTCTCGGCAAGCCAGAAGTCACCCCAGCCCGCGCTTCTTCTCGTGGTTGGCGAGATCAGCTTGCTGTCGCTTCGACAGTGGTAGGCTATTGCTTGCTGTCTCAAAGCTGCTGCTCTCATATAGAGCTTGCGACACGCGCTGGCCTCCGCAACGCCTTTCTTCGCGCACGGTTCTCCCGCATACGCGCCCATCCATGGGCCATCCAAGATGTGCAACGTGGACTTGAATCCAGAGGGGCGGAGCTCGACAGTGATGTAGTGCCGCTGGCAGCCGCTGGCAGCCTCCAAGCCGCCTCAGTTCAGATCCATACCATTTCCCCCTCCCCGCCGGACGGAGCTGACATGGTCCACGACCCCTCTGAGCACTGAACCCAAATCACGTTGTGGACTTCGGTCTTGTAATCGATCTCTTGATCCATGGCACAGCGCGATACAACGCGCAAGCACACAGCACATGTGC